CCTCTCCTGTCTTAGACCTGGAGATTGGCCCTGAGTGTTTGGCTGACTCTCCAAGTCTTCCTCTGGATGAAGCACCTTGGTTTTTCTTTTTTTTTTTTCTTTTTACTCTGTTTGTGTCTGCTTTAGCAGCAGTCGGCTATGAAATATATTTCACCTACGTCTTAACATTTTATTTGAAACGATTAAACATTTTGGCATTTCAATTTCAGAAGATGAATGGAATACAGATGACACTCCTGGACGTGCATTTAAATTTCACCTACTGTTGTCACCGGTGTCCAAGAAACTCAAGGAAAAAACTCCCTGGTCAAAAACACACCGTATCTCAGCCTGACTTCACCCACATGTATTTACTGCTAATATATTTTAACTCCAGTGGAGAGATGCTGTTCTTCCTCGAACGAAACCCACGATCTATTCCTAATCACTGCACGTAAACATAACCAGCGCCCTCACCAGGACGTGGTTAATGTCGATCCCGTAAACATAACCAGCCTCACCAGGACGTGGTTAATGTCGATCTCATTTCGGCTTAAAGCACAACAGCTCGAAAACGGCTATTGTGTGGAGCTGGAAGTCTGCAGACCTGGTGATAAGTCGAATATTTTTGGCTCAGAAATGTGAGCTCGTGCATATCCCAGCAACACCCTGTGAATTTTTACATATATTTGTGGTCTGTTAGAGCCGCCACTGAAGACGGTGCAGTCAGGGTAAAGTGGCCTGGAAGTTAATAAACATGGATTAACAGGGAAATGTATGGCACGTGTGTGTCATGAGGAATATATAAATAAATATATAGACTAAAGATAACGGTAGTTTATTCCTACAGACTCATGTCGGACCACTCTTTCTAGGTAAGATATCTTCTTCCTTTCATTTTTTTTTTTTACTGAGTTTTTCAAGGAAAACACATTTTAAAACTCAGATTCAGAACGCAGGAGGAGGCGGCGCGTTTGTAGCAGTTTCAACCGCATTACCCTCAGCAGTTAAGAATCGGATGACGTTTTGCACACGTCTGAGTACGTGTGTGTGTGTGTGTGTGTGTGTGTGTAGGCTGCGGGCTCTGTGACAAGGCTGGCTGGGAACATAGAGCTGAGGGTTACTGCCAGACATGTCTCAAGAGAAACAGGGGCACATTTGCAATCACCCCGAGTTCAAAAGGGTAATTTATTCACAGCCTGTGGTTTAAAGTAGACCTGCTCAGAATGCCAGTGGGATTGTGCCACTAAGCAGCGTAGTAGAGACACATTATTTTCCCTTTTTTTTTTTCTCTCCCCTCGTTTTCCTTTTTTCTCTCCCCTCATCATTCCCTCCGTTGCCCGCTGTTGTCTCTCGGAGCCCTGTGTGGCGTCTTTTAACACACACCGGTGAGCATATTTCACTTTTACACTCATCCGCATTGACGTCCCAGCGTTGATTGAATTTTGAGGCGCTGCGGCGTCTCCCATTATCGTCCTCATCGTCTTGAGTGGTTTATCTCTGGCCTCGGCTCAGTGTGACGCCAGGGCTGCAGGGGAGGAGAAGAGCAGGGCTGGGGTGGGCTGGGGTGGGCTGGTGGTTGGGGACTCTTCCTTTTTCATTTTTCCTTTTGAATTAGAGTGGGAGAAAAAAAAACAGGCAGGACATTTTTTCACCAAGATTTTCAAGATTATAACAGTAAGTGTTTTTGGCATCGGAGCGGGGCTGTGAATTGGCAAGAATCTGACGATGCGATATGTATCACGATACAGGGCCAATGATACGATATAGTGCAATATATTGCTATATATTGCGATACTATAGGCACGACGATATATATGTATAACAATTTCATTATAAGAAAACTGTCTGCATAGTGAACACACAATGTTGTTGCAACGCTATAAATATTTTCACATTAACTGTTAATAAAAAACGATACAGTATCGTGAAACGAAGTATTGCGATATTTCACCAGTTCCTACTTCTGATTCACGGCGTCCTCAGTCAGCTGTTGGTGCAGCTTCACTGTCACTAGACCTGCCAGGTTCATTTAGCGTCACATGACCACGGTTGCATGAAGAATCTACCACACGCTCCCGGAAGATTATTACAGAAGACACTAATTTTAGGTTTGCAGAAACATCTCCTCCCCCCGGTAAATTTAATACTCAGTTGTGAGCGTTCAGGTCCACGGAGGGACAGAGTTGTCTCTCTGTACTGAGAGCTGTGAGCCAGAATGTTTTCCACGCTCTGCTGCAGAGTCACTGGTGTCGTCACTGGTCGAAGCGCCTGCTGAAAACTCCTGATTTCAGGTGAAACCTCAGGGGTTGCTCCACCGTCTTTACTAACAACTCTTAATGGTCTCTACGTCTTTCTTTTCTCCTCCCGTTTCTCACCCTTTGTCTTAGACGTCTTGTGGCTTCTCTTTTCCTCACCCTCCCCGGTTGTTGATAGAGTGATTTTTGAAGGCACGTAGGGGAGCAGAAACGCGGAGCTGTGCTAATTGAGCCTTCTTTGTGCCTGGTCACTGCGGTGTGTCGTGGCCTGGGAGCGAATCCAAGCAGCACTCAAGAGCCCCGCTGGATCGATAACGCTGGAGTTTAACAAAACAGAGACATGCCAAGAGCCTAGATCAGGGTCATTATTGTCTCTGGCAAGGCGCACTTACACCAGGGACTGATCAATGTGTGAATATGGATCAAGATAAACATTCTCATCTCCCCCGTTTCTCCTTTGTGTCTCTGAGAGCATCAGAGTGCAGACAGAGCTGAGCTAAGAGCAGGAAGTGGCCTTGAAAGCACCATTCTCACCATCATGAACACTATACTGTGAAATATAATCCAAGAATAGTTAGCTTTTACCTGAATATGTCAGTGTGAATAGTAAAATTCACTTCAAATTTGTTATTCATGTAAAAGATTTTAGATTTTTGAAAAATCAGCAAAAATGACAAAAATCTAAAAAAAAAGGAAGAATGTAAGAAAATTTGAAAAAGAACCTTTACTTACCTGTTTACCACTCTGACCAATGACTGTTGACTACAATGATGCTCTGCTTTGGTTATCGATGCCTAAGGTTAAATATAATGTTAATATTAGTGGAAAAAAATGCGTTGGCTTTAAAGAACCATAACTTTCCCATCGACTGCAGCAACAATAAGTCATATTTCCTGAGGAAGTGACTCGTACACCATCTATATATGTGTCCTGACCTAATGAATGTGTAAAATTATGTACATCCTCAAGTTCTGTTGAGTTAATATGAAGAATTCAGAAAAAATCATTTTGAATTTTTAGGTGGTGAAACGTTTTTTCTTTATTCTTTCTTTAAAAACGTTGTAACTTTGTTCGGATCATAGCGATCGTACATCCCTCGGCTGGACAGCCTCGTCGAGCTGCCGATGACACGTGCTATTAAAATGTCAAATTGCCCTGCACTCAGACTAACGTGATCTCAGCTGTGATTATGCAGCTCCACGCCGCCCCAGCCTCGTCAACAGCACAGCGGAGAAAAATCAGAAACTGCGCTAATTGGTCGTGAGGATTGGTGAGAAACTTGGGCGATTTCTGTCTGTGACTCTGTAAAGAGAGGCTGTCGTTCTGGAGTGGAGGTGTTTTGGAACACGCAGGAGGAAGAGGAGGAGGAGGAGGAGGAGGAGGGAGAGGGCAGGGGGGGGTTGTCTGCTGGCACAGGCTCAAATTGAAATGATGCACTGTTCCCCCTCACTGCTGCTGGAGCTGCAGTAATTAAATGCCTCATTGTTGCATCTTGGGAGTTTGTATTGAATATTTCATCCGGCGTAATGATTATTTGGTGGTGGGTGGGAGGTGGATGTAATCACCTTGGCTGACTCTTTGATGAAATACTTGATTTGGTGGTTGTGTTTCACAGTGGCTTTAAGGGCTCTTCACTGCCTCTCACCTACACTGTCCTGGTGATGAGCTTTCTCAAAACTTTACTCTTTATATTTACATAAATGGGAAAATAAAAGAGGGAGTCGAAATGTTTCAAGACAGGGTGTCGAACTCATTTCGAGACTGCAGCCTGGTTTAAGGTCAGTACAAATTTTAGTTAGAAAATATTAATATTTAATTAAGTGTTTGTCATCCAGCGGGCCAGATTGACCTGCCCAGTGGGCCAGTTTTTATTAAATAATCTTTTTATAAATATAAATAGTTTACGTTTAAACAAGGGCTGTCAAACGATTCAAATTGTAACGTGATTTATTACAGGGTAGTGGTCGATTAATTACGGTTAATTAAGATGAATCAAAATCACAAAAAAGTTCTTGATGTGTTTTTTGACTCGGTCGATTAATCACGGTTAATTAAAATCACAAAAAAAGTTCTTGATGTGTTTTTTGACTGCATCACTGTACTTGGTGGACGTATGTGTCTCCATATGTCTCCACTAACACATGCTGGACGTTGAGATGGTATTTTAAGCTGGAGGTGTTTCAGTGAAATTCAAACTTTTCTCCCCACAGTGTGTGCAAATGCCATGTATCTAGACTGTGAAAAAACCTGATATTTTACACACAATAAACAGTTGAAGCTTGACAAAGATATAACGATAAAACAGCTCAGAACTGTTGGAGACACCTACAGGCCATAGATCAGTATTACCACCTTTGGTTGATTAATTTCTCATGGACTCAAAATCTGTTTTTTTTTTTGTCTCCTACAGAGGACGCCGGTCAGCAGTGGTGAAGCTTTTCGGTGGTTCTTCTAGACATTGGAGCCGCAGCGCCCTCGTGCACCTGCAGGAGGGAAAGTTGGACTCTTGACTCTACCAGGAGCATTTGATCGGTTCCCAGAACCCAACGTGCTTCACACATTTGTGACATAACGATGAATCTCCAAAGGGGAAAAAGAGGACAGACGAGAAGATACATGAAAACAAAATGGTGTCGTTTTAATGCTGTAATTTTTCCTTTTTGTGTAATTATTGTAACTTTTGACAGTATCATATTGTATATTTTCGGTGTCTACGAACGTGTTCTCAGTGTTGTGGCTGTACTTTCGCAGCCATCCCCCGTGTAAAGGACTCAAACAGACAATCAAACCCGGAGTCGACCTGGACATCTGTCAAACAGAGGAGCAAACAAACTGTACACTGGAGCAATAATCTGTCCTGTTGATTATTCTTCAACCTTTAATTTCTGTTGACTCTTCTATTATTTCATCAACCTCAGACACCCTCTAATTTCTCCTTTTATTTTCTCTGGAAACACATTCACTATTCTCAGCTGGCTCAGTGTCTGGCCCAGAGCCAGCGCGTGATGAGCGGCGTCAGTTCGTCCGTGACGGGCTCGTTGACATGTTTCCCTGTGACTTGTTTGAGTACAGGACACA